CCCACCTGAATTCTTGAGATGAAATTCCTCCTCCTAGCACTAGCATAGGCATGAAAGAAGGCTGTGTTTTTGTCGCCTAATTTCAGCCGTCATTTTGGACTCGTCTCCAGCTCACCCCTTCTCTACGTATTGAGCTTTTCAATTCGAATTCCAACCTTTCTCTTTCTACTCACTCCTCCCTAGATAGAGATCCCGCTTCCTCCAAGAAGAACTGTTTCTGGACTCGACAACCAACCTACTACCACCTTAGAATCTCCCTCAACTATCAGATTTTCCACTCCTATTTGGTTTGCAGCTTGTATTCCTTGCACCACAGCCAGTATCTCAGCCCTTGTTAAATCTCCAACTCCAATTGGCCCCGAGAATAGGGATAGGATGTTTCTATCCTAATCTCTTAAGATCCCTCCTATGCCCGAAGGCCCTGGATTGCCTAGACTGCTGCCATCAAAGTTCAGCTATACCACACCCTCTGTAGGAGGCTTCCACTCTATCTGTGGTATAAGTTCTTTTTTGGGGCTGTGGAGGCCATGCATGTATAAGTTTTTAGTGTATACTTTTTAATTTTTTGATATTTTTTTATCAATAACATAAAAACATTTTATTAATGAACACTAGAAAAGATACAATACAGGAACAGCCCCAAAGAGACCACTTAGGGTTACAACATTGCCCAGAACAAACTATCCCTTCCCACCCTTTGCACTTTGTATGCCTTCCAATGCTGCTAACACTTCTGCTCTGAGTGAGTCACCTATTCCAATAGAGCCTGAATATAATGCAATAATTTTCCCTTCCTCGTTGCTGAAAACTCCTATTCCTGAAGAACCTGGGTTTCCTTCACTACTTCTATCAAAATTTAGCTTAGTGAAGTCATTAGTTGGTGGAGACCAAGACGTGTTGATCACGGTTTTGAGAGGGGCTGAATTAGCCACTTCCTTCCAATTACTAATCAAAACATCTATAGAGTATAGAGATATCCTCAAATAAAACCATAGACTTCACCCATTGTACCATGCTAATAGTGGTAACTTCTATTAAAGCATCACAAGGTGCCAACCAGCTGGTTGGTAAGGTCTCTGCTGGTCGTAGCAAAGACTTGGGATCGAATCCCACCTACACCTGGGTTGGGGAATGAGCTACCCCCATTATGTAGACCTTCAGAAGATATATATATATATATATATATTTATATAAACTTCTATTAAAGCATCTTTGCTCCTTTATCCTTAGGTTGGCAGCTCTTGCACATCTCCATGAAACTTTTCCCCTCTTCTTTCCACCTATTAGATGAAGAAGCAAACAAGCTTTGAACATTTGGTGGAAGAGTCCACCTGCAACCAAACAAAGAGAGAAACCGAACCCAAACAAATGAAACAAAGGGGCAAGAGATTAACAAGTGATAGAAAGTCTCGCCATTAGCCTTACAAAGGATGCATCAATGAGGAGTAAGCACTAGTTAGGTCTTTTTCTTTGGAGCAAGTCACAAGTGTTGCACCTTTGTAGGAAAGCTTCCCAACAAAATGCTCCTATTCTAAGAGGGATCAATTTATCCCAAACTTCATTGACAAGAAAAAGTTGCCCAAGGCTATAAGAGGGTTGAACTAGAGCATTGAAAACAGATGCACAAGAGAAAGCCCCAGATAAAGAGAAGGTCTATAATTGGCTATTCAACCTCGAAGTATCCAATACTATCCCTTCCAAAGTTCGAACCAAAGACATGACATTATTTAACACAAAGTCTTTGAAAACCCTTCTAAAACTCAAATCCCACTCAAACCCAAGGCCTGAGTCAGAAGGAACCAATAGAAATTGGCTCATCTTTTACTGATCAAAAAAAAAAATTGGCTCATTTTTAAATACTGAAAGGGATAAAGAAGGAAATTGTTCCTTTAGTTGTGAGTTCCCCACCCAGATATGTTCCCAAAATTTAACAAGGTTTCCAATACATAATGAAAGACGAGGAGGGACAAATGGCATAAATAGATTTCCAAGAAAAGGCTCTTGTAGCCCTAGGCAACACTCCTGCGTCTCAACCATCATCCACTAGCCCATGAATGCTTAAGATCACCTTGGCCCACAACTTATCCTTGTCCTCTGTCAATCTCCACAACCACTTCCCCAAAAGGGCCTCATTTATTTTTTTAATATATCCTATGCCTAAACCACAACCACAAAAAAGTCCCTCATCAACTTTTCCAAACTTCAGATTCAGATCACCCCTACTGGGATTTTAAAGACAAATAGAAAATATATGGACAGGTTGGCCAAGGTAGATTTGATTAGAGTAATCCTACCACCCAAAGAGAGAGAATTTTTCTTCTATGAGGCTAATCTCGTGGTGAATCTATTAATCACAAGATTCCAAAAACTGCTATTTCTTGGATTATCTCCTAAGATAGTTCCAAATAATTCATTGGCCATTGAGAAAATGCACAGCCCAAAATATCTACACTTTCTGACACCTCCCTCTCATCTATATTAAGCTCCACCACACAAGTCCTATCAAAATTAACTTTCATGTTTGTCATTTGCTCAAAGAGTTGGACCACCAATATAAAATTCATAACCCAATTGACATTGCCTCCTTCACAGAATAGCACATTATCATCAGCAAACTATAAGTGGGTAATTGACACCCTATCCCTACCAACTCTCCACCTCCTCGCCAAATTCCTAGAGACTCCCTATCAATTAGCCTACCCAGGACATCGAAGGTAAAGAGAAAAGAAGAGAGAGGGTCCCCCTATCTAATTCTCCTAAGGGCATAGAAATGGTCCACCATAGTTCCATTTACACCACCTCCATCAAGAAAGACCAATCAACCATATCATAATATAAATAATCTTGTGATTTATAATTGATTTATGACATGTATGCTATTCCATGTTACACATCTAATGATAGGTAAACTCTTTAATTACACAATAGGCCAATCGGTGCAGTGCATGACATACCATATCCATGTTGGACAGCTAGACCTCACGTCAGTCCCCTTACATAATGTTCAAGACAAAAAATAAAATGATAAAAGGAGAGGTTTCCAGTTTTTCTGGTATGTGCATTTGTTGGGGATAATAAAGAGAAGATTGATCAGAAACATAAAAATAATTTAATAGAAAAATACCAAGTATCAATCTAGTTATGTGAGGAGGCTGAGAACCATACCAACCAAATGAAAACATCTGTCCCATGGTCAAGCACAACTGCTGCATCAGACTGCATGGCCAGGTCATATGCTGGTAGTTCCTCAAAAGTGCCTCCTTCCCGATGCATTAGACAACGAGGTGCCACCATACGAAGTGACAAATCAAATGATGCATTCAGAAACAAATTCCTTAAAACAGATCTCTCATCTTCATGGCCAACAATATTTCCTAGAAGCGCTCCCCTTCTGAGATGGAACAAGTTCTCTGGAAGTGAAGAAAGCTCCTTGGGGAACTGATAAAGTTTTGACTTCGGTAATTGGGACCCAAATTTCAAGGCTATGTCTTTAACTCTTTCATCTATAACCATTTGCATATCAATTGCATCAGAAGCTGTTTTGGCTTGTAACAATGTCCTCTTTGCAATAAGACCTGCTGCCACTTCATCTTGAACACTCTCAAGATAAGCTGAAACACTATCCACAGTCGGCAATCTGACAGTAATCACTCTAGAAATGTCAGCTTGATAAATGTTTGAAAATTGAAATGAAAACTGGAAATAAACATAATCACTTTTAATGTCTGCTTTTGTTTCCATGGAGAGGGAGAAGCTCTGTGTTTCTTCAACACTTGGCATTTGGATAGAGATCGAAGTGTCATTTTTGAAAGCTTCATGAGTGTCAGATGGTGCCTCTTCACCAGGCCCTATTACTTGAGTGATAAGAATATCATCAGAGCAGCGTATCTCTAATAATCCACGGGAACCCCCTGCCCTTGTAGATGCTCGTTGTAAGTTTACACCAAAAGCCTCCCCAAAATCATCATGAAGAACCAGAACACCACCGGATGTTTTAGCAAGAGGTTGTAAGACGGGAACCCTTACTGGGCATGTTCCAGCACAAAAGATATCAATGACTGTATCATGTCGATGAGCCTCACGACCTAGACTCTCCATCCACTTCAATGCTGTTTTCTCCATGTAAGGATAGTTTGGATGACTGAATGAATGTGGTACCGAGCCAGGGCCATAAGTATTGGGTCCACCAGCACATACAATAATTCTTGAATTACCTCCAGACCTTTTAACAACTCCTCGAGAAGTTTCAGCTGATGGCCCTTGAATTATTCCCAGAGCTATTTCTACTGCTGTACCCAGACACCGGTCTCTTGATGCTTCAGGCAAATTTAGTTTGTATGGTCTCAAAGATGAAAAGATGGTGTGTGCAACAGGCAATGAAGCATGGATAGGTGACAAGTATATGCCAGTTCCATAAATCAATGTTTTCAATGCTTCCTGACTTGGTGATTTATTACCAGGAAGCACATCAGCTGATGCCGTTGATCCCTCTGAGAAATCATAAATTGACACTGTCCGACCATAAGATATGATTCCAATTCTTGTTGTTGGTGGGAGGGAATCGACAAAAGCATGTAAAGAACTCTGTAAATGCTGAAGATGCGCTTCATCTAGACACTCATCTATGACAAGAAAAATGGGTGCAGACATCCTTGAGTCAGACACAGGAATAAAACCAGGTCTTCTATTCCCAGTTTGAACATAATCAACCAATGGAGATGAAAGTTCTGGCAAGTTACAAAGGTCTTCCTTGCTGGGAACTATGTATTCACCCTCGCTTCCATTAAGTTTCCCACAGATTACACACTGCCACTGCCCTGAGCCCAGCAAAATGTTGCAATAGAGATTCACATAAGACCCACAATTTTGGCAGCGATGGGGATCACGTTGTATTATTTGTGGGCCTGGTGAGACCTCCCTTCCAGGAGAAACTATCGCCCCAAATCCCAAGCTTGGGACATTTGCCTGCTTTTTGTGTTTCAAAACCTATAAAATAAAATTGACAAAGAAAAACAAATGTGACAAAGAGCAACAGATAACTTCTAAATCCATGAACAAAGCATAGAGAGCACTATAAGCATCCTAAGCTCTTGAAGAACAAAACTGCTAGCCATAGAAAATGATGTCAAAAGCAAAATGCCTGAAATTTAAGCATGCAAAGTAGCCTTTGATAATAAGTGAGAACACAACTAGAAATTAATACCTTATGAGCAGTGAATAGAACACAAGGTGATTCCCTGGAGAGCATGGACACTTCAGCCACATCAGAAGCTTCTGATTGCAACTCAGCTGACCCATTTCGATAAAGAGGAGAAGATGTGGGCAGAGAGGAACCTGAAGAAAATGCAACCGGCTGAGGAGATGCAGGAGATGCCCGGAAAGGAACAGCTGCAGGCTGGAGTGGCGATGAGAACACAGGAGGACCAGGAGGCGTGCTAAACTGAGGAACAGGACTTCCAGTTTTAATTCCATTTGCTGGCGATGGAATACTAGACGTCTTGCTTGATGAGGAAGGAAGCCCATCTTGGTGTGATATTTGCGGTGAAAACCTGGGTGCAACAGGAGATGAGAAGGGAGGGGGGGTCGGTCTTTTCTCGGGGCGAGGTGTAGGTGTGTTCGGGTGAGGAGGGGAAACAGTAACGGTATAACCAAGGGGAGGTGGTGGTGGAGTAGCCATTTGCGTTCAAATTTGTCCCAATTTTCAAATTCAGATAAGCAGATATAAAATAAAGCCTTTGAATTTGTGGGCGAGTCAGGCGTTTGATGGATGAACTGCTGAATAAAATAATTCAAAAAAGGAATTTCAACAACTGATCATCTAAACCACTCCTGAAGCTCCGAGGAATTTATATAAGCAGTTTTCTAAGCCTTAAACTAATTCCAGCGTATAATGTTATCCTTCGGATTATCACGGGAAAAGTAAAAGATACTACTGCAGGCCATTAATCGGATTAGAACCCAATCTAAAACCCTACGACGTAAAACCCTAATTCCAAAGTCGGATCCAAACAAAAGAACAGGTCTTGATTGAAACCCAGCTCACCATTGTCCGAGTACAGCTACAGAGTTGATGGAGAACCCCGAAAGATTGGAAATTTCACCCTCCGAAATTAACTTCAATAAAAAAAGGATAAATGGGTCTTGACCAGAAAATTTCAGATAAAGAAAATATTGACGAGACTCATGAATCTGCAGGCAAGAAGCACTCAAGGTTCCAGATAAATAGGGTTTTGCGACAGAAACGCAATTGAGCAAAGAAATGGAAATCAGCCGTTAGATTGGAGCCTGGTGGGGAAAGAGGATCTAGGGCTTTGCAGCCTGATCGAAGCTTAATTCGCTATTTCTCTGGTGATGGATATAGTACATAAAACTCAACAAGTAAATGGCAATTCCAATTACGACCACCGGAAATCGCGTACCTGCGGGGGCTAACGAGATTTAATTAAGGATGAAGAAGTATCGACAACATAACTCACAGAAGGAGATTTCAGTTTGATCTTCTCTTCCCTTTGTTTTGTGTATCGGAGCTCCCTTCCCCTCCTTGCTCTTGGTGGTGACGTGGTCTTTTGAGAAGGGAACCGCGGCATTGGCTGAATGGATGGCAAATGGCAACTTTTTACAGTCCGTGGGGAAATACACCTTCTTTTATTACGATTTCATCATTTATGACCCCCGCGTGTCACGTTGCCAAACAAAGGATTCATGATTCTATTTCCGGCTTCTTCTCTTTTTTTCCTTTTCTATTTTCCTGATTTCTTTACTCTTGGGGGTATCTTGCCAAAAAAATTTGCTATATCAAAACTAGGGGTGCAACTTGGGCGGGCCCGATCTGAGTCCGAACCGGTCCAGCCCGAAATTTTATACAGGCTAGGCTTGGAGTTTTGTCCTCAGGCTGGACTTAGGTCTAAGAAATCGGATTTTTTTATTTTTCGAATCGGGCCTGGGCCTAGCCCTTAGGTAGTTTAAACCCGATTCGAGCTCGGCCCAATTATATACATATGTATATATGTTAATTTTGCATATATATTTACATATATAACATTTGTATACATATTTACCTATTTATATACATATTTTACATATACATATATATATATATAAATATATGTATACATATTTGTATAAATATATACATATATGTACAATTTTAAAGTAGATTCATTCACCAACCCGTGTGCATCAAATTACAATGTGTGCTAGGCTCAGGTTGGAAAAATCGGGCTTGACCTCAGGCTCAGATCTTAAGACCACATTTTAGGGTTGGACCTTGGTTGATCATAAACCCGACCCAACCCGCCCGACTTGCACCCCTAATGAAAACTCAAGAAAATTGCTATATGAAAACGTAATTAGGAATTGAGTGATGCGTTTTTTGTTTCAATTTTGGAAGCAAGATGCACATATGCAATCAACAACATATTTTCTTGTGTTATTTTTATAAAACAATTCACATCAAATAACACCCCCCTAAATCCACTCAAATTTGTATGGCCAGATTGTTTTATGCCATTCAATACATAGTATAGTTTTGATAGGCAAATTGTTATTATATTAATTTTTTTACCGTTACTCATTGATTTTTTTTCCCTACCCAGTGTTTGATTGCAGTGCAAATTTATTTGCAGTAGAATAAATGTATGGGAGTGCAAATATAAAAAATGCAAATTCTTGTTTAATTTTGGTTTGGGTTTTATTTTAGGGATAAATTGACTGCACTCCACCTCAGAAATCTGAATTGCAGCCCCCTCCTAGTCTACTAGTAGCCCCCCTATAAACCGCATCCTGCCCATGAATTTGGCATCAATCCATGGGCAGGATTTAGTCCACCCTAAAAATCCTAGGTCCACCCTAGGGGTGGACTGAACTATAAAAAACCCTTTATTTTATTCTACTTCATGTCTTAATTTACTTCATTTGTATTGCAATCAAACAAAATAAGCTAAATTTTGAAACAAAAATAGTCAGAATTTACACTCAAATCATTTTGCATTGCCATGGTTTTGCATCAATGCAAATTTATTTACATTGCAACCAAACACAACCTAAGGCTCAGTTTGGAAGGAGTACAAATACAAATATGTAGAGTGCAAAACCTCATATTTTGTATGTATTTGTATTTGTACTCCTTCCAAACTGAGCCTTCTACATTTGGTTGCAGTGCAATCTTATTTGCATTAGTACAAATGCATGAGAGTGCAAATGAAAAAAATGCAAATTATTGTTTAATTTTGTTTTGGGTTTTATATTATTCTGCTTCATATATTAATTTACTTTATTTGTACTGCAATCAAACAAAAAAGCTAAAATTTAAAACAACAATAGGTCAGAATTTACACTCAAATCATTTGCACTGCCATAGTTTTACATTAGTGCAAATTTATTTGCCTTGCAACCAAATACAGCCTAAAACAATGCCGGTTCAGTGCATATAAGAATTATGGTTCAGTTTTGTTGGTATTTGGTAAGAATGCATTCATGTACCAAAAGCAATCACTTTCACAAACTTCAAGACATATTTGCATCTAAAATGATTTCAATTTATGCAATTTTTGCATTAATTGGCCAGAACTGCTCCACTGTATGTAGCTAGCCGCTCAGCATAGTGGGAGTGGGAGTTTCTCTACTCTCTACTCCAGGTAGAGAGCTGAAGGGGGGTTTATTCATCGTAAGCGGTTGATATCATGGCCTCTATTAAGGTAAAACCAGAGGAACTAAAACCATTCTATGGCGGAAACTTAACATTCTAGAAAAGGAAGCAAGGATGCAAAGAACATATATGACAGAGAGAAGAGAGCAAGCTTTGTTTGGTTGGCAATTTTAGATAAGTCGATGAAGCTGGGAGGAGTAAAGGATGCCTGCCCTAAGGAGCTCTTGGTATTAGCGATTAGACTTTTGATTCGAATAGAACTCCATCTACCGATCCAAATAAGGATAGAGATTATCCTACTAACCTTGTGTGATAAGGATATTGACTACCCTTCTATCTAATCTTGTAACAAGTCCTAATAGGACTCAAACCTTTGTAACTCTATAAATACATCTATACTATTTTGAAAAGCACCAGTGGCCTCAAGAATATTTTTGGAATTTTCTAAGGACAAAATTTACCCCTTTATATTTAAATTTATTGATAAAAAATGAGGGCAAATAAGGCAATTGGTTATTGATATTAAATGAGTTTAAAAGATGTAATTTTAAGATATTTGATGCATTCAATGCTCTCATTAATACAACATTTAAGTTATTAACTTGCATTCATGTTCATTGAATCATATATTTATGTCATTTTTGTTTCTTCTCATCATTAAGTTTTACTAATTAAATCCATACTTAATAAATTAATAATTCCAATAACATAAAAGCTCATACATTTAAAGTACCTAACAAAATTAGTGTCTTCATCTAGGGTCAAATCAGTCAATCCATGTTTCTACAATTAAATAATAAAATGAAAAAAATAGAAATTAAAAAAATTGGAAACATTTTTAACATACATCTTAAACAATAATGATGGAGGGTGATTTGGCCTAACCTCGTAGCACAGGTACACGTGGGCATGACCTTGCTCAAGCGATGGCTCAGCATGACAGCACAGCAAGCGCAACCGCAACTCGGTGGGAAGGGCTCACCGAGCTTAGTCTGGCAACTCGGCGGGTTAGGCTACTCGCCGAGAGCCGCCTGGCTTGCACCTCCTTCCCAAGGCTGAGGCGCTCCGAGCTACCTCCGAGCTTGAGACCCCCTAACCTTTCCTAATGCCCGAGCTCCTCCCAGTGGATTTTAGGCCACTCCCAACTTGCAGGGTAGTTCAGTACCGGGTGTAGCTTGCCATAGGCAGCTCGCCACTTGCAGGGTAGTTCGGTACCGGGTGGCTCGCAGAAGAGCAGTTCGGCACATCACAGGAAGGCCTCCTGCCCGACCACCGCACTCGACAAACCTAGAGGCTGCAACCACGTATCTCGTCAGACAGTGTCGTGCTCGCCACCTTTAGAAGGTGTCTTACACCTAACAGGTACGTACCCTGCAAGGATGGCCCCGCACGTGCCACCTCAGCCCTGGATGTAACGGTTGTGGTAGGACGACAGTGGCGGTTATACCTGCCCTGTCAGAGGCAGG